TTGCGGGCGGGACCCCCCTGTTCCTTTTGAGAGGGACCCTCATGCACCCCAGCCTCTTGCGGGAGGGATCCCCCCGGCTCCTTGTCGGAGACTCCCCCCGCCCCAGCTCTGTGCAGCAGGGATGCCAAGGCACCTCCAATTCCTTGCCGGAGGGATCCCCCTTCTGCCCCTCTCAGGAGGGATGCCAGGGACACCCCTCTCCTCCCAAAACCCCTGCCGGACTGGTGCCGGGGACACCTTCCACAGCTCCTTGCCGGACGCGTTCCTGTGCGCCCCGAAATTCTCGCAGAAGGAGCTCCTGTCCCCCATGGCGGGGGTTCACTGGTGCTGAGGCCAGAGAAAGGGGTCTGAAAGGGGGGACCGGGGACCTTCACATTCCTTCTGCCGCATCACCGAGGCATCCCACATCCCTGCAGCTGCAGAGGCCAGGCTGGCCTGTCCTCAGCATCCCTGCCCGCGCTGCGTGCCACCACGCGTGGCGGAGCGTGACTCGGAGCACGAGCTCGGCCCCTGGGGACTGGGGGGGCTGGCAGCGAGCCTCCAGCCCTGGAAATTTCCAAGGGGAGGCAGAAATCGGGGTGACTCCAGCCGTGGTCACGCTGGTATGCGCGGGAGTAGCCAGGGGCGAACGGGACAGCCCGGAGCATCCCCGTGGATCCCGCGCTGGGTGCTTTGTGCAGGAGGCGTGGACACAGCGCGACTCCGGGAAGGCGCGGAGATACAGCACAGGCGAAGGCATGGCTGCGACATGCCCCCTCAGCCCGTCTGGCACCGCGGGAGGATCCGCATCCGCGTCCGGGCTGGCCTCACGCGGACCCGAGCGGGGAGGCGGAGGAGCCGGGGAGCCGGAGGCGGTGACCCCCGTAACACAGGGCTGGGGGCTGCGTGGGGTGCGGGCACACCCTGTCAGCAGCCTGGCGGGGCGCGGAGCCTCCCCGTGTCCCTGCCCTCCTGGGGGGCTCTCACCGCCGGCAGCACACGGCAGCGAGCCCAGCACTGCAACAGGGCAGGAGGGAGCCTGCGGGGCACAGCGCGCTCGGGCCCCGCGGGGACACAGGGCCGGGGCCGGGGCGATGGTGGCCGTGCCCGTGCTCCGGGCGCAGATGGCGGGGCGGGCGCGCAGGCGGGAGCGGCGGTCGGAGCCGACTGCTCGGTGTGTGCTCTGACAGCTGCGGCGTCTCGCTGCAGCGAAAGGAGCAGCGCCGGGGCTGCGAGCCACTGGGAGGTTCGGGAGCTGGGGCTTTCCCAAGGGAAGGATGCTCTGGAGCAGAGCCCTGCCACGCTGTCCTCACTGCTGCTGTCCTCGGGATGTGACAGTCCGGCTGTAGAGGATGAAGCGAAGCAGGGAAGGGTTTTGGCTCTCCACAGGGGAGATGGTGCCCTTTGGGAGATGCAGGATGCTGGTATCCCAAAAAAATAGAGAAGGGGATTGCATAGATAGAGAAGGGCCCTGCATCTGGGGAGGTGGCATGCGTGGGATGAAGTGGCAAAGTCAGGCCAGCTGACCCACCCCTTGCAGAAAAACTCTGTGTGGTGCAGGATGGAGAAGGACTTTGGACAAGGCCATGGAGTGATAGGACAAGGAGGAAAGTCTTCAAAAGTGACAGAGGGCAGGATTATTTTGGATACCAGGAGGACATTCATCCCTATGAGGGTGGTGAGGCCCTGGCACAGGTTGTCCAGAGAAGCTGTGGCTGCCCTATCCATGGAAGTGTCCAAGGCCCAGTTGAACAGGGCTTGGAACAATCTGGGAAGGTGTCCCTGCCCATGGCAGGGGGTTGGAATGAGGTGGTCTTTAAAGTCTGTTCTAACCCAAACCATTCCATGATTTTATGATCCTGTGCTCCAGGTGGGGTACTAGAGGCAAAAATCATGTGGGATCTGTACCCACAGCGTCACTCTGAGGGTGCTGGCATCAGTAGGCAGGGATGAGCAGGACCAGCCCCATTTTGGGGTCCCTGGCAGATCAGGAGGGTGCTGCTGAAGACACGGATGGAGCCGGCAGCAGCAGGGGAGGTACAGATGAGTCACGGACCTGCAGCATGGGGAGCCGGGGCTCTGCGTGGCTGCTGCAGTGACAAGATACCAAAAAAAAGCCTTGTCACAACGGGTGCAGTGTGTAGCTGCCCACCTACAGCGTGTGGAGCTGTACAAAGCGTGGCTGTGTGCTGGCTCCCCATGGAGATCCTGCTGTGCCACGCCAGCACGTTGCTGGCACAGCCTACGGTGCACAGGCAGTGGGCAGGGAGGGAACAGCAGGGTGGCTGCAGGGAAGCTGGAGGGGACTGTGGCATGGCCACAGGCAGGAGTCTGAGAAGGGGCCTTCCAGACAGGTCTGTAGGTAGCATCAGTGAGCAGAGCTCACTGTGACCTGGGGAGCAGTGCCCAGTGAGCTAAGCCCCATGGCTTGTTATCCCATGCTGCAGCCAAGGGGAGCGTGTGCTCAGGCTCCTGGCACAGGGAGTGGGCAGCAGGCTTGGCAGCATCCTGGCAGGTTCTCCTGCCAAGTGCCACGTGGAAACAGGCACGATCCTGGATAATGCTCCAGGGGGTTGTTAGCAGTTCAGAGGCAGCTCCCTGTGGTCTGGAGAGCTGCCAGACACCGTCAGTGCCCAAGTCCTTGCTCAGCCCTCTTTGCTTCCCAGCCAGTGTGAGAGCACACAGGGGTCTGCTGCTGGGGGGTCAGTATGGGGGGCTGTGTGGGCTCTGCACCCCATGATGATGTATCAGGATTGTGCCACCATCCTGCAGGTACGACGCAGGGAAAGACGGCTTCATTGACCTGATGGAGCTGAAGCTGATGATGGAGAAGCTGGGGGCTCCACAGACACACCTGGGACTGAAGAACATGATCAAGGAGGTGGATGAAGACCTGGACAGCAAGCTCAGTTTTCGAGAGGTGAGGTGTTAGGAGGCTCCACACTGGCCTGGAGATGTCCCCAGCCACTGTTCAGGCTGGTGAGAACTTGAGCAGTGGCTATCGTGGCTTTGAGGTCTTCAGGGAGCCAATGCTGCCATCTCCCCTCACAGTTCCTGCTGATTTTCCGGAAGGCAGCAGCAGGTGAGCTGCAGGAGGACAGTGGGCTGCACGCCCTGGCCCGGCTCTCCGAGATCGATGTCTCCACAGAGGGAGTGAAAGGTGCCAAGAACTTCTTTGAGGCCAAGGTGAGACAGGGCTCAGGAGGTCCCATTGCAAGATGGCAATGCACCAGGGCAGTTTGGTGATGGGTAGGCAGGAGATGGAGATGTTGGGGTGGGCAGGAAAGCTTGGTGAAGGTCACAGCTGAACATTTCCATCCACAGGCACAAGCCATCAACGAAGCCAGCAGGTTTGAGGAGGAGATCAAAGCAGAGCAGGAGGAGAAGAAGAAGCAGGCAGAGGAGCTGAAGCAGAGGAAGGCAGCCTTCAAGGAGCTGCAGTCCACCTTCACGCAGTGACAGGGCCAGGCAGGACTGGTCAGCGGTGCCCAGAGTGGCAGTGCTGCCTGTGCCAGGTGCCAGCCATGCCAGGGGTGATGCCCGAGCCGTGCACCGCCCCGGCTGCCGGCAGGATCCCGGCGCGGGCTCGGCACAGCACCCACCTTGCTGGCAGAGCCCAGCCAGCCCCGGCTCCCTCCTCCCCTCTTGCTGTGGTGTCTGTAGGTGTTGTTTGTGCCCCCACATCCCCAGCGTGCCCCCCACCCTGAAGAGCACCCTGTTCTCTGCCTGCAGCTGCACTGGGGGTTGCTACTGCTGAGTCCCAGGGGAGCTATGTCCTGAATGTCTGTCCTTGGGACACCTGTGCCCAGACTGTTCTATGTTGTGAGTGCATTGGGAGATTTGCAGGATGGGGCTTGTGCAGGTGGCCGTGGTGGGTGTTTTGGTGGCCATGCTGGCCCAGTGTCTGTTGGTATTCCTATGTCTGACACCAGTGACAAAAGCCGTGGCAAGGGCCAGGTTCTGGTAGAGGGGCTGTGTGTGTGTGTGTGTGTGTGTGTGTGTGTGTGTGTGTGTGTGTGATGCTGGGGATGCGTGCCCACCCAGCTGAAATGGAGCCCCTCAGGAGCTGTGTCTCTCTTTATTTTGGTCAAAGACATACAGAAAGGCAGCTGCTGGCTCATGGGGCTGTATTATGGTTTTTTTTATGTTGTATACAGCCTGGCAGGATGAGTGTGGTGGCCACAAGTGGTTGCCATTGGTCACTGAGACTCTCGTGTTTGTGGGTGCCTGTAAAAACCCACATCTGTCCCACAGTGTCCCCCGAGTGGTGGTATAGGGGGTATGTTATGGTTTTTTTTTAATTTAATCCCAAATAAATATTATATTTCTAAAGTGCTGGTTGCTGGTTGCTGGTTGGGTGGGGGAAGGAATCTGGGGATTGGGGTGTGACTGTGGGCACGCAGTTCCCACTGGAGGTGGTGGCAGTGAAGAGGAATGAGCCATGGCTCATTGTGCCAATGGTTTGGGAAGCAGCAGGGGCCTGATGCAGGTGTGGGGGTGTGTACTGAAGGCCATCAGCAGCGCTGCTGCTATCTGTGCCCGTCCCACCCTATGGCACCTGTGGGGTTGTGGCTGTTCTTGACCATATCAAGAGTGAGATAAGGAGACCTTGTCCCTAGGAAGTGGTGGGATGAGAGGGCAGTGTCCTGGAAAAGTCAGTGCTTAGTGCTGGGGGACAGCAGGGCTGCCCAGCCCCTCACTGACAGCATCATGGGTGGGGGCTGCCCCAGGAGGGAGTGACCCTGTGCCCCAGCAGGGACCCTGCCCCTTCCCAGAGCAGAGCCAGGTGTCCCCACCATGTCCCAGCATGGTGCCAGCACATGAGGGGCAGATGTGGCCATTCCCAGGCAGGACCGTGAGTGTGATAAGAGCAGGTGATGGGGCTGAGGAGCCCCTGTGCTCTCAGGGTGGGACAGTCCCCACGTGTCAGCAGCAGGCAGGGACACTCCAAGGTCCCCAGCAGTCCAGACACTATAAGAGGGGTGAGCAGCCCCACCACAGCACCCTTGCTCCGCACAACCATGCTGGGAGCCGTCTGTCTCGTCGTGCTGCTGGGCTACGGTAGGTGCAGGGCATGGGGAAGGGTCAGGGCAGGGGGAACAGGACCGTGGCGCCTGCCCTGGCCCTGGGCACGGGCACAGGCAGCCTTTGATGTCCCTTTGCCGGGTGTCACACAGCCTACGGATGCGGTCAGCCGACCGTGCCACCACAGCTGAGCTCCCGCGTGGTGGGCGGTGAAGACGCTGTAGCCCACAGCTGGCCATGGCAGGTGAGGGGGCACAGGGACAGGGATGGGGACAGGGATGGGGACAGGGATGGGGATGTGCCTGCTCTGACCCTGTGCCTCTGCCCTCACAGATCTCACTGCAGTACAGCCGCTCTGGATCCTGGAACCACTATTGCGGTGGGAGCCTCATTGCCCCCCGGTGGGTGATGACAGCTGCCCACTGCATCAGGTAGGAGAGCGTTGGGGTGCTGAGGGGCATCTGTGCCATGCAGGTAAGATATCTGTGGGGACTGACACTCCATCTCTCCCTGGCAGCTCTTCCCTGAACTACCGTGTGGCGCTGGGCCGGCAGGACGTGTCAGAGGCTGACGAACCTGGTTCTGTGGCCGTGGCTGTGGAGAAGATCATCGTCCATGAGGATTGGGACGACTACTACGTTCGGTAGGGGTGCATTAGGGCTGGGTCATGGGTGGTGTGGCCATGGTGCCTTGTTGCCCTGCCCAGGGACCCTGTTGCCATGGCCAGGAACCCTGGTTCATGTCTCCTTGCAGCAACGACATTGCCCTGATCAAGCTGGCAGAGGAGGTGCAGGAGACTGACACCATCCGTATTGCCTGCCTGCCAGCTGCTGACAAGATCCTGCCCAACGACTACCCCTGCTATGTCACCGGCTGGGGAAGCATGAGGAGTAAGTGGAGTGTCCCCAGGAGAGTCTCCAGAAAGGGGATGCAGGCAGAGGGTGTGAGGTACAAGCTTTGTCTCTCGTTGCAGCCAACGGGCCCCTGGCCACCATCCTGCAGCAGGCTCTGCTGCCCGTGGTGGACTATGAGACCTGCTCCAAGTGGGACTGGTGGGGCAGCACTGTAAAGAAGACCATGGTGTGCGCCGGCGGCGATGATGTCAGATCTGCATGCAATGTGAGTGTGGGCACTGCATGTGATGGGTGCCCCAATGGTGTGGTGCCGTGGGCACTGGGAGGAGAGGGGATGGAGCCATGGTGCCATGGTGGTAGATGGCCAGAAGGGATGAGGGGAGTGTTGGCAGGGTGTCCAGGAGCAATGGCACGGAGTGTCTCTCTGTCTCTCCGCACAGGGTGATTCTGGGGGCCCCCTGAACTGCCAGCGCGACGATGGGATCTGGGAGGTTGAGGGCATCGCCAGCTTTGTCTCCAGCCGGGGCTGCAACACAAACAAGAAGCCGACAGTCTTCACCCGGGTGTCCGCCTACATCGACTGGATCAACGAGGTGGGTGCCTCTTCCTCTGCCCCTCCCACACACAGGGGCTGTTCTTGCCCCACTGAGGGTCTTACCATGCCCCCCCGTGTCTTTTTGGCAGAAAATGAGCACAAACTGAGGACGCAGCATTGTGGAGATACCACTGCTGATCAAAATAAAAGCAAAAAACGCTGAGCTGGTCTTGCTGGTTTTTTGGCGGAGGGGATTTGGTGGAGCTGGGAACTCACATCCAGGGCTGGGTCTGCTGATGCCAAGGCCCTGCTTGTGTGCTGGGGAAGGTGTCCCGGTTGTGCATTGGGGCTGGGCAGGACTCTGCAGAGGCTGTCGGGCACTTCCCGCAAGATGCTTCCAGTGCTCAAGCTGTGGCTGAGGCATGGCCCTTGAGGGTTGGCAATTACTTAGATGGGACAGGGGCTGGGCTTTGTCCAGGTTATTCAGGAGAACTCCTGGGAACCCAGCTGGCCCTTGGGGATAATCTGGAACACTTGGTAGCTCCCAGGTCGCTTTCAGGGACCTCACTGGCACTGCCTAGATGAGGGCTGACTTTCAAATGGGGCTCTTGAGGGAACTGGGTTGGCCTTGGGGAGCCTGAGAGAGTCTGACTGGTTTGGGAGGGGTCAGGGGTGCCTGCAGGAGCTCTCTTGGAGACGAAGCCCTTGGCAGCTGCATGGCACTGCCGGCTCCAACAACAGGACCTGTGACATGGCCCCGGAGCAGAGCATCTTACCATGGATCTCCTTCTGTGGTGGCTGGAAGAACAAGGTGGGTGATGGGCAGCACACAGAATCCCCAGCTGTGGGGTTCCCAGGAGGAGCCCAGGCTGCCCTGGAGGAGACAGGGATGTTTTCCAGGAAAAGGGCAGCGTGTTGGTGGGAGCAGGTGTGAAGGAGCTGTCCAGGAAGTGGAGGTGGGTGCCACACCATCAGCCCCCGAGCAGAGCCATCCATCACACCATCATCCCATCACGGCTGCTGCAGCCCAGCCGGGATCCTCACGGGGTGAGGAGGAGGAGCAGAGCGAGCAGGGATGGACAGCAGCAGCTCAGGCTGGGTGGGGAACGTGGTGGACGGTGCCACTGGACCATTGAGTGGCACCATCACCAGCCCACAGAGCAGCACTGGCACCTGCAACGAGGCCCAAGAGCAATCACACGAGCACTGGCACAGTGGGAGCCACCTGGGGACTCTCCAGAGATCCCTGGCACTTGTCAGCCTGACCAAAGCTTTAGCAGGTGAAGAGGGATGCAGGGTGGGAAATGGTTTGGATGGACAGGAAATGTGCTATGACAAAGCAATGGTAGGGATCACCCCAAAGGCGACTAAAGGCCTGCCAGTCAGATGATGTGTGGAGGTGGCTACTCTACACAGCAGGATGGGGCCAGGTGCTTGGGACACTGGCGTGGCATTGGCAGCATGATCTGCTGGCTTGGATGGAGATCTCTAGGCTGTCCATGGAAGCTGGGCAATGTGGGGCCCCCTGTCCCCTCTGTGTGTACCCACATGTGCCATGGGGACAGTTGTTTGGGCTGGGAGTGCAGAACACTGGGGTCCTTGGGACATTATCTCTACAGGTTAACCTAAAGTGTAAGCTTTATTTTTATTAAATGGCTAACATCTAATGTACACTCTATAGTATGTGTCCATTATTAAGTATTTAACAATATGGGAGAAAAAGGGGAAGTTTAAAAGAATACAACTAAACTTTGTGAAGTTCCTTACTTTTACTTCACTGTGGAAATATAAGTACTCATACAATCCCTTACATAAAAATTTCATGTTATTAGTGATCTTTACACACTCCTGGGAATGAGAGCTCGGGACACCCAGGGACACATGAACAAATTCCCCTGACACTGAGCAGCATCCCAATGCTGATGGCCCAGAGCATAGGGAAGCACTGCCCTGACACATGGTGCCAGTCCACATCCTGGGCTCCCCTCACGGGCATTGTCTTAGGTTGGAAATGGGTGGGTGTATTCTATTCCTATCTGTGGAGCAGTTCTGTTAAATGGGCAGTTTTCTTTATCTCTTCCACAACCAATCCTCCCTCTGGGGAGATAGCTTCTGTTAACGGGCCTATGAGTCTCACCACATGTCTGGTAAAATTCCATCTTCCCATTGTGAGATGCTCTGCCCAGAGGGAGGAGCCAAGCATTCCTACATGGATAGAATCTGACATTTGGAACACCAGGGCAGCCTTTGCCCACTGCATTCCCAGAGGAGTGGCTCTCTTTCCACTGGATTTCCAGCGCAAGGCCAGGCCCATATCCAGCAGCCCTGGACCTTCAGAGGAAAACTCCACCCTTCTACAGGATCCCTGCTCCAACAGAACCTCCCCTGGCACTGTAGGAGGGCTGAGCCCCCATGGAATGGGACTGCTGCCAACAGCCTAACCCACATGGTGTCAGGGCCTGTTCTGACTCTGTCCATAGTTTATTTGTTTGCACTATTACATTTGTATTTTCTTAGTTTTCCTAGTAAAGAACTGTTATTCCTATTCCCATATCTTTGCCTGAGAGCCTTTTTATTTCCAGATTTTAGAAATTCAGATGGAGGGGGTTTATATTTTCCATTTCAGGGGAGGCTCCTGCCTTCCTTAGCAGACACCTGTCTTTTCAATCCAAGACAGGCATCCAGCACTGAAAAACAAGGAGGAGGGAGAAGAGCAGTGGGGCCGATGGAGTAAGCCTAAAAGAGCATTTCTCCATCTCTCCCTAAACCCCCCTCTCCTCCAGCTCCACCACACACCTCAACATCACAGATGAGCCACTGCAGTGCTCCTGCTCTGCTCTCACCTCCACCAAGGATGTCCCAGAAAGGGACAAGCCACTGCAGTCCACATCATGGAAGAAGGAAAAGGACAAGGTGGAGCCATCTCTGCCCAAATTCAAGCACCAGCTCCCTGCACCCCAGCCCATGGGACAGCCCAGTCCCAAGGCTCTGTTGGCAAGAGAACTGGTGAAATAATGAAGGGGGAGAGTGCAGGGTCACCTTTCCCAAAGGAAAACAGGTCCAGTGGAGATGGGATCAGCCCCAGCACCACCTGTACACCCAGTGCTCTGTGCAGAAGTAGCAACACAGAACAGAGCAATCCAGATTCTCACACCACAGCTGGTGGGGAAGGGGACACATGTGCAACTGAGCTCTCGGAAAACCTTGGGCAGAGGCAAGGCCATTCCAGCCATATCCTTACTCCTGCTGGACCCCCTTGGGGCTCATGGCTGGCCCTGACTCTATTGGTATTACCAATATTGCAGATGGGATGTGCCCTAGCTTGTCTGGCCCCTGCAGCTGAACCAAATAGTGGCTGTCGTAGGAAGGGGACCAGGACACCAGCTGGTTCATCACAGGTCCAGTTTATTGAAGAAAGCATCAAACATTTATACAGCAAATAATAAGCTTATGAATATTCTGTAAGCCAAGCAATCTATCAGTTAAACTATACCATTAACTCTTCCTCATTCCTTAGGGGTTACATCTCTCTTTTGTCATGTCTCTTTCACTATTTGTTATCGTACTACAGCTAGGCCCAAGGACACACTATCTAGCAGGTGCTGAACTTGGAATTAGCCACGGCTTTGTACTTTTCCATTCTCTAGTCACCTAAATTTCCCAACAAGTGGCTACTGTGGTGTTACATCCCAGAGACGCCTTTGGCCACCTGGATGTTGCAGCTGGGCGTGTGGAGACAAGTCCAGGATTGCAGGAGCTCTGGTGGTGGCTGGATGGAGCTTCCTCTCGTGGAGGGGCCACTCCTCAGACTTACGTCTGGCGAAGAAGCTTTAAGGTGATGGTGAAGGAAAGGAGTCATTTCTGATGGAGGGTTTCAATCCAGAGCTTTTATTCTGGCCCACAGGCCTCTGAATCCAGCAACTGCTCCAACAGAACTCCCACACTGTGTGCTTGCTCGCTCTTTTACCCAGGGGAGGGGAGGAGGGAAGGGGTAGGGAGCCACCAACCAGGTATGGGTGGGGAGGTCTCAAGGGACAAAGAACACCTGGATGGCCCAATGCCCCCCCAGGGGTAGAGGGCATCCTTGGAATCTGCCCAATCACTCAATGCCCTTCTGGAATTCCAGATTGACTGACAGTGCTTGGAGGGGTCAGGGTGGGGAAAGGGAGGGTGATTGACACACCTGGGAGGGAATCTTCTGGGAGTACTTGGGGTCCTGATATAAACCATGAAATCACACCACAACATCTTCCTCTAGTTTTGTTTAAAATGAAGAGGACAGGGTTTGGGGGCAGAATGCTCACCAATCTATGGCTTGTAAATTGGTTTCTCCTCTTCAGGAGGGTCAGTATTTTCTACTGAGACTTTCAGGTCAACAATTGGAGCACTAGGGGCTTCCAAATGGTAGACTTCAGGAGGGGAAGATGAGCTTGAAATTAGCTTGTAAACCATGCGCTTCATTTACCCAAAAACAATGCTAACAACTACAACAACAATAACTAGAATAAATAGTACTAAAAACACAGTTTTCAGAATAGATCCCAACCAGCCCAAGAGTCCCCAGCCCTTGAACAGTCCACTCAGCCAGTCATCTCTCTCTTGATGTCATTCACCATGGTTTTCATTTTGTCCATCATGGCATGGACGTTCCCTACTTTTGATGACAAGTTGAGGCAGCAGAGACCTTCAAATTCTTCACAATGATGGTTGTGCAGAAGGAGTAGATAGTCTCTGGCTGCCCTGGTTTGAATGGTGGCTTGCCTGTTAATTTCCTTGTCTGCTAAGTGCTCACTCAGGGCAGTACAAGAGAGGTTTGCCTGTTTTGCAACCCAACACTCCAATCGGCCTAATTCTCCCATGCTTTTTGCTGCCAAGATCCACAGTAGATGGACTGTAATTGCAGTGGCCTTAAATCTGGAGGAGTAAACAATTTCTGAATTACTGTCTGGGTCTAATCGCCTTAGGTCCCTTTTTTGGATAGCCAATTTATGTGTATTGTTTTTTATTTGCCGATGCATTCGATTAGTTCCATTTGGGGTAAACAGGCTCAGCTTGCCAACGGCGCATGGACCTCTGAGCAGATGAGGGGGGAGACCTGTCCATGCTCTGTCTCCACATATTAAAAACACACCTTTGGGGAGCTCAGGGGGCTTATAATCATCACTTGATGAGTGCATGACAAGGACTGAATTTTTGCACCAGTTTTTGTCAGTGTAGTGTGGG